AATAAAAAAATATAAGAAAATGTATAAATTATTACAAAAATTAACAATTCATACACGCTATTTATTAAAGTTATATAGAGAATTTTACCCTTTTTAATGTACAGTTCAATCTGTTAAGAATACTAATCCTGATTTTTTTCATAATTTTTTCGTATTAAAAAAGTTTAACTTAACTATTTTTTATAAACCATAATTTATATCAATTGATATCAAGTTTATTGTAAAAATTATTCGTTTCAATGAATTGAATTAAAATTGTTTTAATTATATCAAAAAATCATAGTCTAATGAATAATGAGGAGGTAGTATTTAAAAAAAAAAAATCTTGAAAATAACCAAAAATTCAATATAAAAGTAATTAATCTTCAATTTGAGGCATTAAAAATTTAATGATTTTTATTAAAATATCTTGTTATCACATATTGTACTATTTGAATAATGTAGATATAAATAATTTTTGACCTATTTTTCCATGAAAAATAACAACAATAACTATGAAAACAATAACAACGGAAATGATAAGAATAAGTAGAAAAACAACCAATCCGTCAGTATAGCTCCAACTTTGGGCCAGTAACTATCACTTTAAACAGAAACTCTACGGTAAATTATGAATATATGAAATACATAAGTTAATGTATTATTAGTTTCTCAAAAAAATTGCTGTAGTATAAATTAACATATTATTATCATTTGATTGAATATATAAACTTTATTAGCTTCGATGCGAAGATGAGAAGATATTGTAGAGTTTTTTTTATATGTTCATAAATATTCTCAGCTCTTATTGGAAAATTTTAATTATCGATACGGAAAAATAATCCGAATTTACTATAATTATTCCTATCGGCACTAAAAATTGAACATTTTTTTAGTTATTTAATAAAATAACTCAATAATACATTACTGTAAAAAACAGTATTTTCCAAAAATAAATTTCAGAATTTTAGAGTTTTTAATTTCATTTTTAAACACTGTTTCTAGTAGCACATACTAAAAACAAATAGCTTTATTTAAATATGATTTTATAAAAACCCAATAACAAACCTAATTACATAAATGGATTAGAAGAACCCGCCTACGCATGTAATAAAATTTTTTTTAGATTTTAATTTCTGAAAATGTTTCAATTTTGGAAATTTCTAACCTTATTAAATAAAATATTTTGAAATATACTACAACATTGAAAAAAAAAATGTGTTTTTCTATGATAAATTAGACAATTTTTTTTTGTTATTTTTGGTTTTTAATATGGAATTTCAAAATTTGTTGAAAATGGTCTGCTTGAAAAATTGAATAGATTCGAAACGAAGCGTTTTACTGTAAAAGTGATGATGATCATTGTAGGATGTCTCTATATCATACCTAAAATGATGAAATAATGTTTATTTTTGTAAAATTTTTTTAAAACACTTTTTACCTAGACAAAAATTCAAAACTTTCAATAGTTTCCTAGGAAATCAATACTTATTGTTAATTTATAATTTTATCAGAATGTGTTATGTAACTTCTTTACATATAATTTTTTGGATAATATCATTAAAATTTAGTTAGTGCTGAACATCTCTTAAATGGTATATACATAAAATATCTAGATGAATAATAAACCTATTTTATAAAATTTATAGACTTTTTATTTATAAAATCATCTAGCTAAGATAAAAGATAATATTATTTTTATCTAGATAATATTTATATTCCTCAATAATTTTTGTTATTTTCTATGGCAAAAAAAAAATTAAACATAATATTTTAATAATTGGCTGCCTAGTTTATCAGTATTTTATCGAAAATTGGTAAATGCGAAATAAAATTACCACATAATTACTGTAATTATCTGTTCACAGGATAAAAAAATAAACTAGTTTTTCTTATGGTAGTAGATGTTTAGTCAAACATGATGATGACTAGTGTATCATGTTTTGAACACAATTTGATATACGGTGTGTTCATTTGCTGTTTACCGTTTTGGGTGTGATATAACACAACGGTTAACGTTGAAAAATGCGACAAGTGACTGATGGCGTGGCATTTGTCGAGCGTAGAAATTTAGAGAAAACATGAATTTAACTGTGATAAAATATTAACTATGTTTCGGATCATCGTCAAAGGAGAACGTTAGTGTTCCGAAACGACTCGACTTGGATGTTTTCTAGTGCTTAATTTATACGTCACGTTCATTCGGTAAATTATTTTAAATAAATATAGACATATTTAAAAAAGTACATACTGCAAACACTAGCGTTTACACGAAGCGTGGCGGATTCCATTTCAGCTCGTGTCTAGCATTAACTGTATTAATCAAAATCATGGGCGAAAACTATGCGCGCACATTACTCACTTAACACAGGTCGAGACTATAAATCATTATCGAAAATCGTGAAAAATTATACTTTCCAGCAATTGAGACCAATGATCATTATTATTATCTGACACGAATACCAATAGATAGCAACCCATCGGTTTTCTGCTCATCTCTATTACATGTCGGAGGGTATTGGCCATCATTTTACAACATACACTTAAATATGTGTTCAGTTAGGCCCGACCATAGCGATAAATATCATATTTTATTATGATATTATTATTATAAGTAGTGAACATCGTTTATTAATATTTCCTTGGAAGATTATTACTTCTGTGGTAGAATAATTTCCTTTTGAAAAAAACAAGCCCATAAAAAACGATGTTAATTTACAAGCCACATTCGATTTGCATGCTAGACAAATTATTTTCAGAATATAATAACAAATATAATAAAAATAAAAATTTGAAAATTTATACTTTATAAAAAAAATTACTAAATTGATAAGACTAAATTAAACTCGTTCATAAATTTAACAAGGCGTGTTAAAGAAATAATTTATAACATGAATAATTATATTTTTCTATTGGAGGTTTTTACACCGTGTACATACGTCTTTTTTTTTTTTTTTGGTTGACGTTCGAGTTGTAATAAATACTAAATAAATAAGTCCGTTCTGGCGTTGGGATAAATGTTTGTGTTAGCTCTTCAGTCGAACAACACGCACTTTTGTTTATATTAAATAATAAACTGCAAACAACACGACACATTGAGAAGATATAATTATTCGATATTAAATAGTTCGTTATTAAATACATCAATGTTGTTTATTTACTTAAAATACTTCTTTAAAATACTGAACGTTTACGGACAATGGAGAAATTTAGATAGAACACTGACATTGTGCGTAATGTTAATACACAATTAGCCAAGTATTTAATTTCCTAAAGACATAGAAGGGAACAAAAACACAAGAGCTAAAAGAAACGTCTTTATACGTGTCGTTTCGTCGGTTAGATGCCAAAGAGTATTTCTGTTTCACTTAGTCTAATTCTTCATATGGTCTATCAGAAATAGACTTCCGGTTGTAAAAGTCAAGACGAATTCAGGTGGCACCGTCATAATTTTTTTAAAACCAACAGCCGTCACAAAAGTAGTTTGTTTTCTACCAACACCTCAGGCCTGATAATTGTTGGTTAAAATAAGCGCAAGTATTTTAATGGTACCATTATAAAAAATACAGGTTTCATAAATTTGTAGATTTTCATCGGTTTAAAAACGTAGACATTAAGTACCTAGTTTTGCAAATTGAAACGTTTAGACTTACTAAACGTGTGATGACCGGACTATATAAATTTAAAAAAATGTTAATCCTTGGAATAAATAATGTCGGACGAGCGAGTCCAACAGACGCATTTGCATAGGAATAGGTTACACGGGTGTGAGAGGAGGGCTGATGTGGCGATTTCCTCGGTGATCAACAACAATGTTTTAGTATTTGTGTTGCTGTTATAGTCCAAGTGATAATGTAAATAATGTCGGAAAATTCACATTTCCTAATGATCGCAATCATTGTGTGTCTCGTATTGTGTTTCTAAAGGCATCGATTAACTAATTATTTAAATTAACGGTAACTGATCGATTTATTTTTTACGCGAGTGTCTCTATGGCCAGCACCACACCCTTCGAAAGATCGTAAATTATTTTTTTAACTTTATTTTACGATTTGAGATACATGACTCGGGTATTAGAGTAGTAATTTTTTAAAACGTAATTAAAATAAGTTGTCAAACCAGGTAATATAAATTCGTGATCCTTTTAAGTGAACGTTTGACAAATCGTAAACTGCTATAAAATTATTAACAAGAAAACCCATAAAAGTATACACACCGAATATCAATAGTCTATTAGGGTTAAAGCAGTTAGAATTTACACTTGAAACCGATAGACAATTAGAGACATGATAATTTTAAACGATTTTATTATGTAAATCTTTATCGTCGACACTTGTGCTATTTAGATTATGGTCAAGGGGGACGACTCGAATTTTAAGCGGTTTACAGATTTTATATTGCTCAACGTTTTAATTAATTTATAAAATATATTTCTACGTCAGTATTTTTTTTTTTAATAATAAACGATTACATTTTATAGAAAGAAAATCTGTTAGGAGTTCGGTAATTTCAAGATAAAAATCTAGTTATTTGAGACAAAAAACGAAAAACTCATTAAACGACATAATGAAAAAAAAAAAAAGTTAATTTTTACTACATTTTGTTACGATACGATTGAAATGTTGAGTACATGATTACATCGAAAAAGTAGATAAAATTCACCATATACGCACACCTAACTGAATTAATTGAACACAAGTTGGTTTTTTAAAACACAAACACAACGGTACTTGGAAAAACGTTAGCCTTTGTTTATAATATCAAAAACGGGTAACCCGACGGTATATTCGTTTGTTAAGGTTACAATGGTACAACATCGGAGGAATATCGTCACGTTAAATCGGCATACGAATAATATTTTTTAACAATAATAAAAATATTTCGTTGTAACCCGTCATGGTAACATCGTCGGCAGCGGCGGTGACGGGGCGAGCTAAATGAGTCGTTATGGAGCTGTCAACCGGCGGCGTGCTAGTCATCCCGTTTGGAAGAAGGAGAGGCCGCCGTCGCGTTCATGTTGCCGGGATGATCTGACTGTGCACTCGGATCTCGGCTGATGATCGCAGTACATGTGCTATTTCCGACGCCCGTTATCGTTACCGTAGTTTTTTATGCGTCCAAAGATTTTCACAATTTACATTTAATTACTCGATTGTTCGGCGTAAGTGCGTGTGTCACATTTGCTTGTCGCGGTTGAATAAAATTATCTATAACCCATACGTTTTTATTTTATTTTATCTCCAGTGTCTTCAGTGCGGTTTAGACTAAGCTGTTGGTTTTATTTATTTTATTCTATTTAACTAACCGATCCCGTGCGTGTTTGTGTTTTTAACGCCGTGCACATTTTTTAATTATATTTCCTTCAATGGGACCGGTCGTATTGATGAAAAGATAGATTTTTTTCGTTTATTTAGTGCGAATACCGCCCAAGTGTGCTGTGGATATTTTTCTTGGGGTCGTTTTGCCAAACTGATATAATAATTGGAATACATTTTACTTGTAAGTACATAATATTGAATTTTTTTAATATTATAAATTCCAGTCGATTAATTTCCCTTTTAATTGTTCACATAAAATGTTAACTTGGGCGACATCAAATGTTTGTTTATTTGAAGGATATTATATTTCATAGGAATACCTCTTATGATAAAAAGTAATTTTATTTCCTCTATTAAAATCATTAAAAATATATTCAGATCAATTACGGTTATTTTCAAGTTTATTATTAAATAGTTATTTAATAATGTCTAGAAATCATTTAATTTTTAACGTTAGATATTCAGATACATTTTGTTATCATCTATAATTTTAACTTATAAAATAAATATACGTTTCGTATAATTCTGAAATATTTTCAGAAAATACTTATATTTGATTTATAAAATTCTAATTAAATTATTGCTCTTATTATGTATAGTTATATAAATAACATTACAACTGTTTTCGGAAATATATTTTCTTGTGTTAGTTTTTAACAAAAATAATTTTTACAAATAAATATTGTTCAAATAACAACTATTATTATATATTCCTTAAAAATAAGTTATTTATAATTTTTCTACAAAATCGAACAAGACGGTTTGTTTAATAAATCATGTAAAAATCATTATGTCATTAAACAGAATAAAGAATAAATAAAAATTCTTTAATTTATATCCCAAGCATAGGCACAATATTTAAAAAATCATAGTACCGATTTTAATTATCAACAAATTATAGGTAACGTTTCAAAGAATCTATTGTATACGTTTGATTAATTGAGTGTGAGAGATTGGATTTTTTAAATTTTTAATCAAGATAGGGAGATTAAATGTTTTTTTATGTAAATTTAAAAGTAGTATTGTGTTGATTGCATTAAGGATGAGTAAATAATTGATGAATAGTATTTAAATAAAAATTAGAAATGTCAATTAATAATCACTATACTTAAAATGGTTTTGTATGTTTCATCACGGAATAAAAGTTTTTAAAAATCTTATAAAAAGTATTGAGAAAGATATTTTTATTTTTACATAGTTTTTTTTATAACAAAACTTGCTATTCATTTTATTTGTATACACGACGTTCATTTCTGGTTTAAGTTAGTCACAAACGAAGTCTGTTTTCGTTGAGATCTTAAAACGGTATAAATACTAACTTGTGTGAAAAAAATCGTAAACGTTTATAATGGACATCGTCAGATTGTCTACATTTGGCCCTCCTCGTCTAGGCTTAATTTTACTCGGCTGGTACTTATATAATGTATTATACATGTGCTGGTACTTGGCGTGTATTTGGTTTCCAAAACAATTGCTGTAAACGCATTACTGCGTTATTAAATTCTCTGAATTCATCGGATATTTAGATCATCGTTGCGTGTGTCACATACTTGTCTGTTGTCTTCGTTAACGGCTAGCGCGTTGTGGGAATAATCATTTTTTACATGCTAGTCCAATCCATTAAATCTGCCCATTCGTTTTTCCACGGAAAAAAATGTATAACACAAACACTTTGGCAAAATTTATTTTAAAATAATATCATCGAAGAAGACGACGGCAGTTATGTATCCTATTTCCCTCGTTAAATTCGCATACGCTTTGCCTTTTTTTTTTTTTTTTAACTTTAATTGTATTGTTTTCCAGCAATGATTTTTAACCACGAGAGAATCTTAAAACTATAGACTTTTTCAAGAGCATACCTATATACTTGTAATTATCTCATAAGTATGACCGTTTCGCATTTGGAACTTCAACTACACGTACAATAATAAATTTGAAAGTTGTATATTTTTGAATGGGTTTAAATTAACATAAATATATTAGCCCCTGCGTTTTGAGTTGATATAATCGTAGAATTGTAGTGATTTTATTATTATTATAATATCCCTTTTTGAGTGCGAAGGGCATTGTCGATGAATTTACATTGGTTGTGTACCGCTTCCCTTAATTCGTGTGAAAGGCGCCGAGAACCGTGTTTACCTGAAGGAATTTTTACGGGGTGTTTGCTTATTCAACGCGTTCACTACTCTTTAATTCATGTACGGTTTATTTATTCCACCTTACACATATCCTTTAGTCGTGACTTTAGACTGAACGAACGAAAAAGAAAAAGGAGCAACACCATTCGATCGACATCCGTTTTAATGAAGTGGTCATTAAAAGAAATCATTACTTCGTATTTCGTAGTTTTTTAGCTATCGGGTTGAATTACTTGGACGTGAGCGATCGATAATAAATTATAAACGTTATCGGATTATACCTCGTAAAAAACTAAAAATCTAAAGATGAATATGTTAATAGAGATTTTTGAAAATCACTCGATCTGACAATAAATCAAACGTAAACCATTTTCTAATCTCCAGTGCAAGGAGCTCAATAAAATAGTCTTTTAATACATATTTTGTTTAATACCTTTGTCCGATTGCAGAGCCCCTCTTAACGCATATGTGACCAAACCTTTTTGGGCTTACAAGAGATTAGGATCCCAAATAGGATTAATCGTTGTTTACAGAGACAACAAACGCAGCAGCATATGCTCTCCATTAAATAGTTCTTTAATGGTTTAAATAGAGATGCGCTGCCGCTCCAGTCATTCGGTAGAACAGAATCTGTCACAGTCGCATTCCGTTTTGAGTATTGATTTTACGACCGAAAAACGAGTTTTTTGTCTAAACAAACTTATGGTTACGTTTCACTAATATGTAACTTAAGAAACTAATTCGACGTCTTGAAATACTCAAGTGTTTGTGTATGTAAATAACGTTATGAACACTTTATTATGCTCGAAGTTTGGCTTTTCTTGGTGTATTTCTAAGTAATATCTATCGGGTTTTTTATGTAAAAATTACGATCTGTTTACTTAATGAAAATAAATATTCAGCTTCCTACCGAGATATCTTCTAAGGCGTAACAAAAAATGTAACTAGTTGTTATTAAATAACCAAAGTCCATATTGTCACGGTTTTGATGTTCTAAATTCATTTTTTTTTTTATATATTATAACCAATCATTTTATACGTTTAATGCATTTCCAGAATAAGTTTATAGTAATGCGACGGGAACGCATTTGAGTAATCCGCGGGACCAGTTTATGTGAACGTTTCATATTTTTCACTGAAAACGTCTACACAAAGTTATTTCAGAGTTAAACAGAGGTCGCGTACAATGGTATACGCTATTGGTGATCATTGTGATATAAATAAATATTTTTAACTGATTTCAAAAGATTTTAATGATGTCTTATTCAGCGATTTAGGTTCAGAGCACACGTTCAACCAGTGAGGATTTAGTGCTCGTGTACTTAAAAAGTCATTTTAGTTTTTGAGGTGGGGATCAGAATGCTCTTTTGTCGAACGCATCGTTGTTGTTGTTGGGTAATATTATGATTTCCGTATAAGATGCTAACTGATGTGGTTGTCGTTTGGAAAAATGTGTTAAACTAAAATTATAATTCCTCCGTAGTTGAAGTGTCACTTTGGTGCGGATAAAAAATACTCGGACAAGGACGCCGCCGTGTAATGTAATTACTATGTTTATTGAGCTCTTAAACGTTTATAATAAATATAATTAGGTGTAATTTTTTCTCGGCGGTCTAGACATATTAATACCGTCAGGCTACGTGTTAACCGACACTATTGGCTAACGAGATTCATTCGGCACCTATTTCTTATACATCGAGAAATTATCGCCGGCCAATCAACCGGAATGATACTCGTTTATTTACATTTATCAATTCGGACGTTTTATTTTTTAAAGATGGGGCGGAATAAATAATTTTTGTGGTGCACATGTCGCGCGATGCGTCACAGTCGAATGTGTTTTTCAAGGCCCAACCGCTGCCAGAAGAAGCGCGCGCGCTGTACCTGTACGCGCACGGCAGTGGTGCGCTAATGTCTTTATTAACTTCTTCTATAACGCTATATACTACTGCGCAACGAATAAAACAACGGCGGCGGTGTTGGACGCGGTGCAACGAACTGGCCACAAACAACGGCGGCGGCCAACCTCCTCTCGCCGGCCGCTAACGTAGCGCAACACAACAGATAAAGACATCATCGTGGTGCTGGTTGTCGACCGTAGTCGCGGCACGGCCTTCCACGGTACGCCAGCATCTCTACTCTCGTCGCGGATGAGCCCCGAGCAGCTCATGTGGGTACGCGCCGCAGAGAAACACCCACCGTGTGTGTGTAATCATAGAAGGTACGCCTTGGCTTCGAATTAAAGGCGGATTATAGTTGTGGCCGACCAACGGGAGCGAGAGAGACAGACGCGCGTACGCACACGTGGTTATAGGCGCAACATAAATTATTATTATCGCCAACAGTCGTTGTTGGATTTCAACTGTGCTAAAGAAACAAAAGGAAACGCGCCGGGTAGTAATAACATAACGTATCCGGACCAATAGCCGGTCGTATTGTTCGATCTAAAAAACTAAATACAAAAAAACTAGACGAACACAAACCGAGATGAAAAAAAAAAAACAACGAGTAGATTCGGAGGAATTTACAATCGATTGATGACGAATCACACGGCGCCTTAATTACATTTTACGTATTCGACGCGGCAATGACTTTATTAGTAGCTGGCACCTTAATAATAGTACGGTACTCATTTTAAATGCGTTACAAACAATCTACAACGGGGCGTTGGAGTTTTACAACGTTTTATTATTATCATAATGTCTTTATATTCTTATAAAAGCATATACGTGTATATAAACTAGCGGCCTCTGTTTGATATATTATTTTACATTTATATGTGTAATAATTTATATTGTAATACAACGGTCGGAAAAAAAAACCATATTCCTCTTTTAGGTATACACTACCCTCTCAGTTATTCGTGCGTATTGTAAAAAAAAAAAAATTTGGTAGAACGTTGACATTTTTTTTACGTTTATATAATATTTATACATGTATGTTTTCAGGTACATGCTAGCCGCGCACCGCCGTTGACATTGTGTATGGCCGTTAAGCGGCCAACGGCGTTGAGCCGTTCGGGTCTACACCTGCACCGCCGTCGGTATGCCTGAAAAGGAGACCATGCTGTACCCAAACCCATTCGACTATTCGGTCGGATTGTCCCTGCAGTTCCCGCTGTCGGCTGCTCCACCGCCGCCGCCGGACGCCAGAGGATCATGCATATGGAATCCCAGCCTGATACCACCGGCCACTTCCAGTCCGTCCACGTCCACCATGGGCGCTTTCCATCAACCAATACCGCACAGGTAAGAGTTAAATAGAACGAAACCCTAAGGCAGTCTAATAAAGGCTTAGTGTATTTAAAATAGTACCGAAATCCAGTTTGGCGTCTTGAACCGATTTCGAAGGTTAAATATTCGGTTAATAATGAATTCGTTGTAAAAATAAACGGAAATTTATTGGTAATTTTGATTCGTACTCGGACGTGTTGGGAAATATTTAGTTCCTTGACGGGACACGAGTGTGAGACGACCACGTCGTGTGTACGTTTCAGATACGCGTTATTTTATCTCAATTCTATCGACTTCAGCGTGAAATACAACTCGGTAACAATAACACAATGCAGTAAAACGACCGCAATGAAAAAACGACGAAGGTGTCAAAACGCTGATGAAGACGAATCGTAAACGGTTCCCATCGGCGTCAGGCACATGTATGGCCGTACCGTGTATTTTACCAAGAATAAAAAAATGAAAATACTAGTAGCGGCGGTAATAAAATCCTTAGAACATCATTTATGGCAAATTAAATCGAATTTATCATCAGTCAGTTGTTAAATCTCACCAAGACAAATGGTCATTTGAATTTCTGTGTGATGACAATACATATTATCGGCATGCTGTTAATAGCTTATGCATAGCAGTAGTAGTGTTATTAGTTATTATAGTAATAGTGGCAGCATTCGAGTCTAAAGAATTCACGCCTCCGTCTTTTGACGGCAAGACACGGGGCAGGAATGTTGTTGCTTTACGAATGCGCTTGCTGTACACACACACACAGTCGCAGTGTGCAACTGGCGTTCGTGGACCGGTAACGCGGTATTCGCTATAAGAACGCGGTGGTGTACAGGATAATTCTAGTAAAAATGAAAATAAAAAATAACGGCGTACGGGGCAAAGATACAACACAAAAAATGTGCCGTGTACGGAGACGGCGCATGTTTGGAACATTCAAAATTCATTAGATGCCTTTGGCTAACCGTAAGGCTGAAATTGCCTGATAGAATTTGGTCGGTCGAATTATATGATTACAGCGAATACCTTTTTGATTCAAAATGCTTGGGAAAATTATTCGACACGCGGCTTCCCGTTAAATTTAGCGTTTGCAAATGGCTAAACTGATCAAAACCTAATTAACACGACTCTTTGACATTGTACAACTGCTGTACATTAATTATCAGCGGCAGCATTGTGTGTCCAGACGTTCGATTGTAATGTTTATCATGTGTTGAATGCACACAAATGGCGATGATAAAAAAATGATAAGTCGGAATTATACCCGTGTACAACACCGCGTCGCGTAATATATTATTGCGACACCATAAGTTTTTATTTGTCGGCTATTTTTTCATATCATTCCGACTAAAGGGTTTTTTGCGCAAGAATTAGCAAAGGTGTTTCGATAAGTGCCCCTACTCATCGTGTTCGCTTTATTTTCTCTCTGCGGCAGTGTCTGGATTTGATAAGAGATACGCCCAACTCTTAATTGCTTTTGCACAAGTGCTACTGAGCAGATAACACCTCAAAATCGTTGCTTTTCCGGACAGTCCGACATTTCGTATAAGCCGTTACAAAGTTATTGCTGCTACATTTGTAATAATGGTATACGTGTAATAATGACATTATTACACCGCTTAATAATATTGTTGCAGCGCTGCGCAGTCGTATATTATCGTGTGATCACAGTCTCCGGACCACTACAATATACACACAGATGAGAAGGACGTTAACCCGTCGCCGTTCGTCCCTGAGACGAGTGTTATTTCATTATTATCATTGTACTTGGACGTACATATCAACAGCGGTAGCAGCATCAGACACCGACCTCGGCGGCAATCGCTTTTTCGCTAGTAATTATTGTCCACGCCGTCTAATTGTCAGCGGACAAAAGAACGCATTAACAAATCACCGTTAACTTTATAAGGAGATAAAGTTAACTCTACATTAATCGTTTATTACCATTATTATTAATCACAGTTTAATGGACCAACTGCAATGAGGGTCAATTGAACTCAATGAGGATGTTAGACTTGTCGTGAGCCTGTGCGATGACTTGGAGTTTGTTTTAAGCAATTAAATCAAAGAGAATAAAACATCAATACGCGATTGTTAGTAGAAAGACTTCTTTGATAAATTTGTATATTTTCCCTGTGAAATTGAGAAAATATCATACCGAAATGAGTATACTCAGCATATTAAATTTAACATTGGCCAACCTAATTTAGTAGTTTTAGGGAATAGTAAAAAAAAATTTTAATGAAAAGTTCCATTATTCATTTATTCGTTTAAATAGATATTGACTATAAATAAGATGGTACATTACTTTAGGAAATAAATTTTTCAATTAAATATTCCAAGTCGAAATAAATTTACATTGTTAAAAGACAATAGTTTGTATTTTTAATAGAAAAATTCTAATCGAAAACTTTAACATAATTAATAAAAGATTTGAGAACATCGGAACCTATTTCTTCGTACATTTTTTTGAGACGGTTTATGAAATGTATAGCAAAACTGTGCAATTGTGGAATACAATTGGAATCGTTGGTTTTTCTTTGTTCGAAGAAAATTCGTCTCCGTCTAAAGACAATTTTAGACCAGAATTACACTACAATTCATCACGAATTATATTTAAAAAGTAATTTAATGTCTATGTGAAATTAAATATTAAAATTTTTAGAACTCTCCAATTTCAATATTTCATACACTATAGGTCAGTTTATTTTTAAATTGACGTTTTTTATTGCGAATATTTTAACGTGATATCTATGGTTTAAACAAAAAGTTGTGACACGATTTTTATACTTGTCACTATATAAATTTTTTATCGAGAAAATTGTTATTTAAATTAATACAATGGAAATGGTATTGGCCAACGACAGTGATATTATTTGAAATCTCTAACAGGTTTATATTAATTAGGATTAGCGATGACTTAATTATCTCAAATAATTGTTTCTTGGTATTTTCTATAGTAGACAACTCGGCAAAAATACGAATAATTTTATGTCTTGTTATTCCATTTTTTTTTTTTGCTTATCGTATTACGGTAAAAAATTAAGTAGAATGATAAAACTTTTTTACCAATATAATTACAGTAATACGGTAATCTTTCAACAGATTACGCAAATTTACATTTTTATTGTTTGTCGATTCCGTACTTTACAACAGAAATCGTAAAAAGTAGATTAAAAAAAACTATAGTTAGACATCTTACATTATTAATGCATTTTCATTGCCAGACAGCAGAGACATTCTTGTGTTATATATTTTAATTTATAAATATATTTAGTATCGTGGTTAATACACTTAGGGCAGCAGAATGTTAAAAGATGAAACCAGTTTGATTTTTAAACTATTCTGTTTTTATCGGGCGCGGCTCCTTAAAAAGAAACAAAATCGTAATTACTTATTTCCCTTTCCTCTTGTACTGCTTCCTTAATCAATTTCGAGTGCGTCCAGTTCTCGATCAGTTCTAATAACGCGTTAAATCGCGGTCCTTAAAACGCGCGCGACTTAACAGTCGTAGAAAACGGCTAATCCGCACCGGAGGCCAATTTCGAAAGAAATAAAGTCATAAAAACCTGGAACGTACTGACACGCATACTATTATAGGCGGTGTACATATAAACGCGGGAAAAAAAACTAGTTTCCCGACTACATTACATACTCGCAAACATATATTTTTTTCGAACGTAATAGGCACAACACTCAACGAGCCGGGCGCAGGGATCGGAAACCGGATTTGGCTAATTGGCTCGTTTATAATGAACCGGTGACCAATGTGTTCAATGTATTATTGTGCGGTTAGCAACCGCAATAAGGAGGAGGTAGTCAAAAAAAAAAAATAAATAAATAAAATGTGCACAACTTATTTCGCGTCCAGACGGATTGGAATTTCGGTACACTGATCTTTCTGTTGCCGCTTTGGTCGGTGTGTTTTACCTGTACGGCCGTCTAATTGGTCTCAGCCGCCGACGTTCTCATTATATACATTTGTGTATTTCATCATAATTGGAATGATCCGCCATGACGCAGGATCGATGAAATATTATTATTGTTGTTGTTGTTGTTGTTGAAGACCACGCCTTTTTTCCAAACCACCCCTAGTGTGTACATTTCGACACGTCTCTTTCGAATTGGATACATCATTATCAAGCAAAATCGACACCCCACTCGTTCAGCGTGTACAGCTCATTTGCCACTGGGTGCGATGTNAAGACCACGCCTTTTTTCCAAACCACCCCTAGTGTGTACATTTCGACACGTCTCTCTCGAATTGGATACATCATTATCAAGCAAAATCGACACCCCACTCGTTCAGCGTGTACAGCTCATTTGCCACTGGGTGCGATGTACAATTGTAATTCACCATTGCTCTTCAACGCCAAAGGACAAGGATTTACAGGTGTTTAATTAACTGACGCTCTCTTATTTAGGTTTTCAAATATCTTAGATTATTTATTTAGATCAGTGTTGTTCTGTAGTCTTAATCAACGATTTCGGAGAAGGTTTGTCGTTCGTAATTTAAAGCTTCTGATGTTCCCGATACGAAGACATGTTTCTTTTTTTATAATAACCTTAATTGTATTGGGCCGTCACTTTTATCAGTATAATGTATTATGTAGTTACTCGCAATGACCGCAATCGAATAGTTGTGTCTAACGAAGAAGTCGGTTTGTAAAGTCTTTCCTGAATCGACCGCGGTACATTCCACCGTGTCTTGTTGCCCGTAGGAGAATAAGAATAATAATATAAAAAAAGAAATAATGATAATAATAATAATAATAAGAGACAATGATAAGGTCGCTAATAGGTCTTTGTGTTGTGTACGTCTGTGAAAAAACGTACAAACTCATATGTGTATAAAACGAAAAAAAGAGAGAATATAATAAATAAATAAACGGGTTCCAAATAAGAACTGAAACACGAGCCAAATGCTATTATGGGGTTTGACAGATTTATTAGGAACCAGTTTGTGCGTTTATCCGACGACCGAAACCTGTACTTTTTTCTTTATCTCGACC